AGACGTTTTTGTTTGTTTTTATATATTGGAGTAAGCAGGATACTGTGTTCCTTTATGTTATTTGGCAACATTTATGCACTCACCACTTGTCTCCTAGTGGTATAATAGAGAATGAGAGTGGGTGTACAGATCTCTGTTAGCTGTTTGTCAACAGCAATTCAGGTGAATTAGGTTCATATTGGCTGTCATGTATCATTGGTGTAGAAGGAAGTGGTGGCCCTTATTCAGTAGATGGGGCTGCAGGATGTGTGGTTATGGTTGGATCATATGAGAACAGTTGCTGTCTCCCACTCAGTTAGACAAAAGCAATAATAACAATAATAATAATAACAAGAGGATAAAAACATACATTGCATAAACACATAGGAACAATCACCAAAAAGAGAAAGGGGGGAGGGAAAGGCAATAAATGAGAAGACATTTTTAAGGAAATACTTTAAGACAGAAGAAATATGAGTAGAAAAAATATTAAAAAAAAAAAAAAAACACAGTATCTGGGGAGGAGGAAATAAGAAAAAAGAACTAGAATAAAAGAACAATAAAGAAAAAAAAGAAAAAGAAAAAACAAAAGTGCCAAAAGAAAAACAAGTGATGAGAAGAGCCACAAGAAAGAAACAAGATGGGAACAAGGAAAAGGGAAGATAAAAAAGAACTAGAACCTGAAAAGGGAAAAAGAAAGAACAAAATTAAAAATGAAGAGAAAAAAGAATAATTTTAAAACAAAAACAACCAAATCTGGTGGGGGCTGGCAGGGTATCTAAGACCCATCAGAGCACAGACTGAGAATGAATTCCTGTTGGTCCAGAAGGTAAGTGGAGGTGGGGGATGGCCACACCTCCATTCACCAAGAGGGTGTGGGGTATAAGAATAACAAGGGGAATATTGAACCTTTCAAGTCATCAGCCTCCAGTGTGGTTGCCCTTCCTGTCTTGTGCAAGCAGAGCCTATTGTTAGGTCCCTAGGATCAGAACAGGAATGCTGCCACTTTAAATATTCAAAATGGCTGCAATGCTTATAAATATTCAAAATGGCTGCCTCCTCCAGCCAGCCAAAATTCCACAGCTCACTTTGTCTCCTTTGCTGTTCCCCTTTTTAGTTGTAAGCCACCAATACAGTTGTCCATGCAGCCCTTGGCAAGCATGGCCAATTTTTAAGTTAATTATCAGGTCTTAACACCACTTGGAAATATTCAAATTGTCCATGCCATCAGGATAGCTGACAGTCTGTAGCTCTGTTTGTCCTTTTTTTACTGTTTTCATTCAGGTTCCTCTACTAGTCAGTATTTAATCCAGTTCTGTATCCATCCTTTCAAAGCTCAGGGCTCCAGGATTATTTTCTGTATCTGTGTCAATTGGTTTCTCTTTTCTTTGTTTAAGAGGATCTCTGTAGTTTGTCTGTCATTCTGCCATCTTACCAGAGGTCCAAGCGACATGATCTGATTTTTATTTTTAATATTAGCCAACTTTCCTTAAAGATAATGGATTGTGGGTGGGGAACAAAAATAAGGAGGCTAATTGGGCAATCCTACTTCTGTAGTGATACTGCCTCGGAAACCCAAGGAGGGATCGCTATGAGTCAGGGCTGACTCGACGGCACACAACAACAAACAACAATTAAGAAGTCAGTACAGTGTCAAAGAGAAAAATTAATAACAGGCATCTGTCTTAGGGAAACACTAAACTGACTGTTAGAAATTCAAACAAAAGATTTTATTGAAGCAATAATTATATTTCATGAAATGTAGTCCACAGAGCCTCCTACAAGAAAATGTGTCCTCCCTTGCAGAAAAAGCAGCTTTTGTTTAGTAAGCAAACAAAGAGACGTGGAAAGGAAAAGAGGAAAATTTACAAGGAGTTGTCCAATCAAAAAAATTTCTTAATGATAAGTCCTAGCCAAACATTAATCTTTTTTCCCTTGATACAACTTGACTAAGGCAATATTTCTAAAGCCTACAGTATGAACATTTTGATGAGAGGGTCTTGAGATTGAATGTAGATCAGGTCCATTCTAGTTCAAGTCCTTGAAATGTAAAAACTGATTCATGGTTAAGAAGAGAAAGTTGAATCAACTCTAATCTGAAGCTTTCGACATGTCTTGCATTGTTTATCTGGCCTAGAAAGAAGTGAAGATGGCTTAGGCAATTTACCTAGCAGTTAAGATAGCAAGTTTAACTAGCAATTAAACAATTCTTCATCTAGGTTAGAAATTCTGTTCCTTGTCTTTGTTATTCAAACAGTAATAACCCTGGCAGGGAAAAAGAATGAATGACTTTGTTTGGAAGAGTAGAGATGAAAATCTTAATTTAAAATAGAACTATGGTTTACACCTAAATTCAGCCTATTCAGATATGCTACCAAAACAAATAACAACAACAATAACAACAACAAAAACGCACACTCACTGCGTCGAGTCAGGTCTGATTCATAGCTACCCCTCTTTGAGTTTCCAAGGAAGTATCACTATGGAAGTAGATTGATATTTTTTCTGAGGTTTACAAATAACTTTGATTTTAAAGTTTTCTTACTTATGGGGGGTGGGCATTTATTCTAATGGAATTCCTGACAAAAATGAACCTTGCCAATGTTTTTTCTGTAACCCAAAGTTGTTAATCTTTCCTTCCCTGTTCAAATCCAGGCTTAATAAATTTGAATTTCATAAGATATGACTGGGTGGATGGGGAGTAGAAGCCATCTTGTGACCTGGTATCAATGAAGGGAGGAGGGCAGGGTTCAATATGTCATGTTAAAATTAGCCAAATGGTTGGCTTTCTATACTATTTCCTCCTCTTCTCTTTACAAGCCTCATTGTACCTAGCTTCTTTGAACTATTTGCTTTTTTCTGGAATCAAAATGCTCTTTTTATATGCGTATAGAATAATTGCTCAGTATAAACCTTATGTTTTGATTATTTCTGAAAATAGTAAACAGGCTTGTAGATGATAATTATTCAGACTGGTGATAGTAGAAGAGTTGCAAAGAAGCAGATAGGATTCAGGATGTGTTTTTGGAGGCAGAGTTAAATAGGACTTCCTTGCTGATGGAAAGAGTCCAGAGTAATGTTTATATATTTTGAGTATTCTCTATGTACTAGATTTTGAGCATTCACTCTGTGCCAGACACACAGTGACTCACTTAATCCTCATAACATTACTCTAAAGTAGGCATTAGTTTGAAGTCCATTTTACAAAATAAGAAATTGAAGCATAGAAAGATAAAATAATATTTAGCAACTAAGTAACCTAGGTTAATATTTAGATTTTGGGTAGTGATATTGATTCGTGAGTCTGGGATAAGTGAAGGAAGAACAGATTTGCATGCAATAATAAAGAATATCATTGTGGCCATATTCAGTTTCACATATTTATTAGATACCCAATTGAACTTGTCAAGCAGACATCTGAATGTTCAGAGCTGGTGTTTGGGAAGGAGAATTTCAAGTCATGGAACTGGAGGATGATACCTAAGAAGAGTATGTATAGAGGAGTATAGAGGTCCCAGGGGAGAGTCCTGGGAATGCCAACATTTAGAAGTTGAAGCGAGTAGAGGAGTCAATGTTGTTGTTGTTGTTGTTGTTATGTGCCGTCAAGTCGGCCCCGACTCATAGCGACCCCTCCTTGGGTTTCCAAGGCAGTATCACTACGGAAGTAGGATTGCCCAACCTTCCTTCCGAGGAGTGGCTGGTGGGTCAATGAGAGTCCTGAAATAAAGATCAGGAAAGTGGAGAAACAGAGAAAGCATTTCATAACTGCAAGCAGGAAAAAGTCTGAAAATGTGACTGTCCCTTTCTTCTGGTGGTTAGCAGAGGTACTTAGGTTGGTCATGAGAAAACAATGAGGAAGAAATAGGAGTGGAAGTTTGGGGAGAGGTAGAGACTGGCCTAAAGGTAAACATCTGGAAAGTACAGTCTGAAGTTGAAGTTTTGCAAGAGAAACAGTCCAAAGAAGTCCAAGAAAATACATTCTAAGGTTCAAGTTTAGCAAGAAACTTGTGTTGGCAAGTGCAGAGAAATATATTCTGTGATTTCAAGTTTAATCAGGAAGTGAGTCCAAGAGCTTGAAAAGAGTTGCAGAAAGGATTTGAAGTTCTTACAAGGAAGATATAGGAGGGAAAAAGCAGAGTCTGGAATCACAATGGAGCCAATAATCTGAGAAGCTGCAATATATGTAGAAGAATATGGCATCAGGATTGGAGAAAGCCTCACTAACAACTTGCAATATGCAGAAGACACCACCTTGCTTGCAGAAAGCGAAGAGACTTGACACACTTATTGATGAAGATCAAAGGCTACAGCCATCAATATGGATTACACCTCAACATAAAGAAAGCAAAAATTCTCACAACATCACGACAAATGGAGAAAATATTGAAGTTGTCAATGATTTCATTTTACTTGGATTCACAATAATTCCCATGGATGTAGCAGTCAAGAAATTAAAGGATATATTGCTTTGGGAAAATCTGCTGCAAAAGATGTCTTTAAAGTTTTAAAAAAAACAAACATGTCACTTTGAGGACTAATATGCATGTGACTGACCAAACCCATGGTATTTTCAATTATCTCATAAGCATATGAAAGGTGGAAAATGAATAAGAAAGATTTAAGAACAATTGATGATTTTGAATTATGGTGCTGGCAAAGATATTGAATATACCACGGACTTCCAGAAGAACAAACAGATTTGTCTTGGAAGAAGTAGAGTCAGAATGCTCCTTAGAAGTGATGATGGCAGACTCTGTCTCACTTCTTTGAACATGCTATCAAGAGGGACCAGAGAAGGACATTGTAGTTGGTAAAGTAGATATAATCCATCTAATTAAGAGCTAATTAGATGGACTGACACAGTGGCTGCAATGATGGACTCAAACACAGCGACAACTGTGATGATGACCAAGAGCCACTTCTGTTCTGTTCTGTTCCCTCATTCGGAGCAGGCACTACTTCTGCAGAACACATTCCATGTTTCTTCTTGCCCTTTTGCCTCTGCTCCTTCCCCAGCAGCATCAGACCCGGGGAACAGCACAGATGCGGTAGCTGACAGGGGAAACAGTGAGGCCCATTCTGCCCTTCAGGCTCAGCTCCTCATTGTCTGGGGGCCTGAAGGTAAATTTTTGTACAAGGGAAGTGAAGAAAATAAACAGCTCAGACCTGGCCAACTGTTCTCCAAGGCAAACCCGTTTTCCTGAAAGGCAAAAACATAAGATTGAACTATCTTCCTTGGTGGAGGAGGTACCTGGCAGGGATTGAAACTCTCTTGCCCATCCTACCAAGCCTGAGCAGAGGATAGACCTGCTCATCCCAAGGCTTTATTTATAGCATGGTGTTTAATCCTGACAATGATTACAGTAAACCAAGGCACAGAAAGTTAAATCCAGATCATAGACCAAAATTCCATCAAAGTTCAAGCAGGGGAAGCACAAGAGTGAAGGTACCAGGTGTTAAATAATAAGGGGACCAAGGCTGATCTGAAGAGCTCTGATGGTGTAGTGGGTGGTATGTGACTGCTAGCCAGAGGGTCAGTGATTCAAACCTACCAGCTGCTACTGGGAGGGGAAGATGAAGCAATCTACTTCTGTAAATATTTACAGCTTTGGAAAACCAATGGGGTTCACTATGAATCACAAATGACTCAACAGCAGTGGGTTTGGTTATTTTGTTTGCATTCATCTAGAAAGTGGATGTCTAGCCTAAAAAAAAAACACAAAATACCAAACCCACTGCTGTCAAGTCAATTCTGACTCATAGCGACCCATTGGATTTCCGAGGTGGTAAATCTTTGCAGAAGTAGATTGCCCAGTCTTGCTTCTGTGGAGTGGCTGGTGGGTTTGAACCACCAGTCTAGCCTTAAGGCTTAGAAAAATTAACAAAGAACAATAACCAAAGCAGATAACTAAACATTAAACTAAAAACCATTAATAAACTGAAAACCAAACCTAACCCACTGTCATCAAGTTGATTCCACTTACAGCAACCCTACAGGACAGAGTAGAACTGCCCCATAGGGTTTTCAAGGCTGTACATCCATACAGAAGCAGACTGCCCCATCTTTCTGTCATGGAGTGGCAGGTGGGTTCAAACCTTAGATCTTTCGGTTAGCAGCTGAATGTCTTAACCACTCTACCACCAGAGCTCATATAATAAAAGCAGACTCCAAAGTAATACAAAAAACCTCTGTGTTAAAGTGTTCAGTGCTTGAAAGGAAATACCTCAAATGCATAAACAAGTAATTATCAGAACTGGGGTTGTAATGTGCAAGGCAGCTCTGCTGGGTGAATCGTGGCCTCTCAAAATTTATGTCCTCCTGAGAACCTCAGAATGTGACCTCTTTTTATTAATAGGGTCATTGCAGAGCTAATTAGTTAAGATAAGATCATACTGGAGTAAGGTGGGCCCTTAATCCAATATTACTGGTGTCTTTATGAGACACACAAGAAAAAACACCATGTGACAATACAGACATACACTGAGGTGCCAAGCACTGCAGAAAATTGCTAGAAGCTAGGAGAGAAGCACAGAAGAGACTTTTCCTCAGAGCCCTCCAGAAGGAAATAACCTTGCTACATCTTGATTTTGGACTACTCGCTTCCAGAAATGTGAAAGAATAATTTTTTGTTGTTTCATGCCACATAATTTGTGATACTTTGTCAGAGTCATCCTCAAAACTAATAAAGAACATTTCCTTGCATTATATTTCCCTCCTTAATTATTGGGAATCTCCCAGACATGTATCGTCCACTCCACTATAATACCCTCTCTGTCTCTTACAGCCATCCTTCTTACACAGAGGTCCTTCCCAAACAAGGGCCTTTGCTTCTAATGTTGAGCTGAAGGCTGATCTTTCTCTCCACCATTCACACATGGCAGTGCCCTGGCCACCCCGTTGATACAAGTGTAGAGAACTGGAAGCAGAGGGATGGAGACCCAATTCAACTACTCCCACTCTCTAGCCACATGATTTGGGGCAAATTAAGTAATCTCTATAGGCATTAGTGAAAATATGTATGTGTGTGCATGTGTGTGTGTTTGTGATGAGAACATTGTTTTATATATTGCATACACTAGACACTGAATCCAAATAGACCAGGTCATTTACTAACTTATACAGTAAAATAATAATAAATATTCTAGCTGTGAAATAACTTATTAAACTGATCTGCAAAATACGTATGTTGAGACTGTGTAAATAAAACATTACTCATTGAACTTTTATCCACCTGTTTTAGCATCTATTTCTGTTTCTTGGCTGAATTACTTGCTACTCTGATGGTTGCTGAATGGTGATTTTCTAATTCCATCACTTCTTCCACATTTATTAGCTGGAATACTAGGAAATGCATGATCTCTTCCCCATTTATTTAGTTATCCATTCATTCATTTAAATCAGTATGCATTAATAGATTCCTATTTTTAATGTAGTGCCTAATGCACTTGACTGCCATCCCGAAGACTGGAGGTTCAAACCCATGAGCCACTCCTCGGAAGGAAGGTTGGGCAATCTACTTCTGTAGTGATACTGCCTTGGAAACCCATGGAGAGGTCTCTATGAGTCAGGTCTGACTTGACAGCACATAATAACAACAACAACAACATTTTTATCCAAAGGGTTATATTCTGATACTATCAATATTTATTTTGATTCTTAAGATATTTCAGGTTTGGTCATTAGATGCTTATTCAAGACTCTTATTTCCTTCCTTCCTGCCACAATAAAATATTCTAGGCTCCTCATACATTTTCTTTTCTTCTGCTCTGGAATCAGTCATTTTCCAGGAGCCATGGATCCTTTTAGTGGATAATGATAATGAGAGACTAAGATCTGGGTTTTAAGGGTGCTCGCTGATGTCAGGGTCCTGGTGCACCCAGGTCGTCTCAGTGGACTCAAATGGGGAATATATATGTATGCATATGTGAACACATGTACAAATTTGTGTATAAACACCCACACTTACATCGATATATCAACTGATCTATATCAATCTATCATCACCCTCTAACTATATAAAACCTCAGTCATATCAGTAACCCCTGATTCTAATCCAATACAACAGAGTTCACTCTATTTCCCCCTTTCCACATTTGCATCTCCCTCCCATTGTTCTCAACATAGTTATTTATTGGATTCATCTTTTCCATATATAACTAATCTCCCATCATGGCCACGGGCACTCTGTGCAGACCCCTCCTCGTCTCGCTTGGGCTCTGGCACCTGCTTTAAGCTTCTGCTGCCCCCTTTCTTTTGTGAATTTCCTCCTCACCCAAGTTGTGCTACAACAACCTATGCCAGCCACCACCACCACCTCTCTTATGTAGGTTATACAGATTTACAGTAGGGGAAAAAAAAAAAAAAAACCATGAAAAAGAAAAGTATAAATAAGAAAATGAAAGGCGTCAAAGATGTTTGTATTCCTATAATCCAAATAAAACTTTGGCTAACATTTTGACATATTTACTCACAGTCCTCACATGGTTTCGCTTGCAATGCATGGTTACAAAACTGGTTTTATTCTCTGTAGCCAATTCTATGAGGAACCCTGCTGGTGCAGTGCTTAAACCCTCAGCTGCTAACTCAAAGGTCCACTGTCTGAATCCATCAGTAGCTCCATGGGAGAAAGATATGACAGTTTGTTCCCATAAAGATTACAATCTTGGAAACTATGGGACAGTTCTACATTCCTTACAGGATTGCTATGAGTTGGAATCCACTCAACAGCAATGGATTTGGTTTGGGTTTAGTTAATTCTATATACTGGTTTTGCTACCCTGTATTTTCCTGTGTAATTAAATATTCTTTGAACAACTTTGCTCTATGTCTCTATTTTATCCTCTGCTATAAAGACCTGTTAAGGGAATAAAATTAGATAGTACATGTGAAAGTATTTATAAACATAAATGTACTTCACAGCTATGTCATCATTATATTCTTTTATGTTTGTTTCTCCCAAGTGTGTGTCTAATTCATCTTTCATCTGTTCTTTATCTCTTTACTTATCACAAATAGAAAAATTAGCAAGTTTGTTAAAATGGTGCAGAGTCATCGTATTATAAATAATTGAATTGAAGAATCCATCTATTGTGACAAAACTGAACCTAGAGTTTCAAGAACTAGGATTAAAATACTGTTTCTGTCAGTAACCAGCTGTGTGGATGTGAGTAAACCATTCATTCTTATGGAGCTACACTTTTATCACTTGCCAAATGAGACAGAAAGTACCAGTTTTCTTTTAAAATCATGAATCTTAGGGGTATCTGACAACAAAGGTGTCACCTAGATTAAAGGAAATGTGGACTTTCTCTCTGGTGTTTCTACTAACTGGCTTTCACTAACCAATTGGGTGAGTTACCTTGTTAGTAAAACTAGAGAGTTGACCTAGGTTTTTGGCAAAGCTCTTTCCAATCTTTTCTCTTATGATCTCATTTTACTTAAGACATGAGAAACTAGATCTTGCCTTTCATGAGGCTGCCAGCTATTTTGGTGGATCAAATAAGAAGGAAGGACTTATGTAGGGCAAAGAAAATATGAATTTGTGGTAAAAGCGCTGCAATCTGTCCTGATCATGGACATGAGATAATTCCATACCTCACCATCTTTTCCAAGAAAAGGGAAGGAGCTGTCTATATCTCACATCTTCAGGGAAGCTATATTAGAGAGAGTTAGAATACAAGTGAGGGAAAACAACTGTCTGCCAAAGTTGGGAGTGTGTTGGAAAAAAAATAGCCAGTTGGGTGGACATTTTGTTAACCCACTGGATTTTCAGGTTTCGATTTCGTGTTTCACTTAACTGATCCTCATTCTGTCATACTTTTTATGGGGTTCCCCAGGGCAACCACTTGCCTTCTCTAAATTTCATTCTCAGACATTGGCAAGACCTATTAATTGAAAAACAAACAAACAAACAAACAAACAAACAAATACCTCCAATGTTCCTAACTCCTGTATCCATGTCCTTTGTAGTGTGATTTCATAGCTCTTCCTATTAAAAATTATAGTCATTTTCCCCTCTAGTTAAGCTGTGTTCTCCTAAAATAAATGTTAGAACCTTAACCCCTATGCCTATGGAAAAGGTCCCTGAGTGGCACAAATAGTTTGTGTTTGGCTATTAATTGAAAGGTTGGCAGTTCAAATCCACCCAGCAGCACAGCAGCACTGGTGATCTACTTCCATAAAATTATAGCCATTGAATC